TGTTAATCAGCTGAAAAAAGGATATTTTCTATACATTCAAAAACAGACTCGAGGCATCCCCTGGCTCTGATATGATAGCATGGAAGGATTGGACTTGCACACTTGAGTTCAAAGTATTTCTCATAGCCTGGGTTCCAGCCTAACAGTGCTGCTCATAATCATAATTTTTGTCCTGGCTCTCACGTGTTGCTTCTATAGAAAGCAAAGGCGTGTGAAGGAAAATCATACAGTTTCCATGGCCCTTTTGAACTTTGTGCATAGAGCAAACACTGTGGGGAGCAGAGAATGGGAAGATAATGTTTAAGGATGAGTCCTTTATTCTCACGCTAAGAAGCCTGGCAGGTTAGGTTTTGAGAGGTGGAGGGGACCTTCACCCTTGTTAGTTTTAGGTAAGTCCTAATTCTTTAGGCCTGGTCCGGACCAGGCAGCCCCTTCCCCTGCCCTCTCAGAATGATGGATGACCTGCTGGACTTTGCAGCCCCTGCTTCCAGCATCCAAGCAGCCCTTTCCCCCAGCCTCTCAGAGGGATGGATGACCTGCTGGACATCAAAGCCCCTGCTTCCAGCATTCTGAGGAGCTTATCTCTCTGAACAAAGTCCACTTAGCCCCTTCCGCCAGCATTCCAAAATGCAAGTTTGCAACTAGCAAGATCATTCATTCACAGACATCCTGACTTAAGGTCTTGCAGCTGCAGGACTAAAAGCCTCCTTCACCTTACCAGTACATACGTCCTTGGCTCAGACCCTGTGTAAGTCCCACCGCCTCACTGCCAGGTGCAATTTTATGACCTAACTTGTTGGGTCTTGGAACCTACCGGGGAGCTCAAGATACTCCTGTCCCTTTCGCGGCTCCCCCTTCCCTCCGGGGAGCTCTTTCCCTACCCTAATAAAGCCGCTCTTAAACTCACGTTCTTTGTCTCAGTTCTATCTCTGTTCCGTGTCTCAGTGTTGACCTCTCATTAATCACATTCTCATGACATTATTTCCCACTTTACCCATGTATTTGGTGCTGACTCAAGGTTGTCTCTTACAAGCACATAGATGATTGCTGTGTGGCCGGCAACTATCAACTATAAAAGCAGACATTCCTATCGGCTCTATTTATTCCCACCACGACATCCAATCCCTCTCGTACCTTCTTCCAATAGCAGATAGGCATAGGGAGACTTTATCCTCTGTGCCTGGATTCAAAATGTTTGCCATAAGCCTGAATTTTTGGCTATAATAATTTGGTCATTACATTTGCCTTCACAACTTTCAGTGTGTAGAAAACAACCACTTCGCCCCTATGGCTCTTTTGAATTTTATATATAAAACAAAAGGGGGAATTGTGGGGTACAAAAAGACTCTTCCCCAGCTCGACTCCTTCATTTTACTCTCCTCTCCTGCCCTGTACCACCCAGAGGAGCTGAGGTGAGCATGCTACTTTGAAATGTGTCTGACTCCATTATTTCAATCTCTCTTCTACCTCTCTTCTTTTCGATGACTGTACTGTAATCTTTACTTTTTATCACTGTACAGTTGTGCCTACCAGGCATGTGATGATTTGTTAGGGGTGGCTCCCCTGACATCACATCACAGATATACCCCAGGAGAACAAAGCAACTTCCTGGAGTCCTTGTCAATACACTCGGCAACAGTGCCCAACGAGGACACCTACCAATGATCACAGCAGTTTCTCAAAGTGGGAGGAGTGGAGACCTTGAGACATAGACTTCTTTGCAATGATCGTGCGAGGTCTCGATGCTGATTCGATGGTCACTCCAGTCCTGATTGCAACAGAAACCACTGCGTCCCCCATCTCGCCTCCACCCAGCTCCCTATTATCTTTAAGTCTACTTTCGAAACCAACAGCCATCTATCAGATTGTCATAGTTTGGTGGCTTACACGTTGCAGGGAGGCTAGAAGCTGTGCCACTGGTATTTCAAATGGCAGCAAGGAGACCCCTGGAGAACAAGTTGCAGAGCAACACAAATTAGGATCTACTTCCAAACATTTGCCCACAAACAACCTTCTGGATACGGACGGGCCATTGACACGGTGCTGGAAGATGAGCTCTTCGGTTTGGTGGGTCCTGTGGATTGACACCATAGCCCCAGCCCGGGGCTCAGTCACATCACAGATCACGGAAATGACGCAGAGCTGGGCCATGATTCACGTTTCCTTACGCTATCTGGAAGGTCATCATGACTTGGAGGCGACCCCGCAGCTGGGAACAACAACATCAACGTGCTCAAGAAACTGTCTATTAAACAATAATGTCATTGTCTTTTACGAGTATATAAAATCCCAATTACACAGAACCCTTTCACATAGTTAGAAGTTACTGGACAGGATGATGTAATTGCCAATTTCCATTAAAGCTGTGTGTGTCCAGATAAGCAGCGGATATCACAGGTTGGCACAAGAAAAAACAGAACATACTTCAGGCCCTTTTATCCTCAGGGGGCTACTAAGTGTTTCCAACTCCTCTCATAAATATTCTCGTGTGGTCCCCTTTATGGGGTCATTTGAGGCAAAACAAACAAACTAACACTTTTCCCAGTTCAGAGCAACTAACATTTATGGGAAACCTACTATGGGTCAGTTTGGGCAGCATAAAGAGGAAGACCTTCCAAAAAGGGGATTGACCCCGTGGCTGCATTGACGGACTCAATCATAAGCACAGCAGTGCAGATGGCTGGCTCAGGCCCGGGCAGGGGTTCATTCTGTGGCACAGCGAGTCCCTATCAACATGGAGCAACTAACTCGATGGAACCTAGCAAGTTAACAACAGCTACCGTAAGTTAGACTTGGTGCTAAGGAGGTGTGATGTGTAAAGAGAAAAAAGATTAAAATGAAAAATCTGAATCGAATGATGAAAACCCTATCATTTGCACTTTTTTAAACACTATGATCTGTTTATTTTTTAAAAAATACATATTTTTTTGAAACTAGGGTTTATGTCTTATATTTTGTTATTGTTGATAGCTTTCTTGAATCTCTCTATGTATTTCTGTATGTTTTTCAGTATAGGAGAACCAGGATGCGTGACTCTACAGAGACAGTAACTAGATTAAGGGACCCTGGGCAGGGGAACAGCAAGGGAGGTGGGGGTAATGGGGAGCTGATATCAAGGAGTACAAGAAAGGAAAAAATATTTTGAAACTGATTGTGGTAGTGATTGTACAGCATTTCTGGATATGACTAACTATTGAATGATATGATGTCTGGATTATGTCCTAATAAAATGCTTCGTCTTCTTTTTTTTTTAAGACGGAAAACAAAGAGGAAAGACTTGGTATCTGCCCTTGGATTTCTGACAGCCAAGTTCAGATCTCTGACTGAAGGTACAGCCAGCTTCTAAACAGAGTCAGCAGAAGCTTCTGAACTTTCAGTAAGTTTCCATTAATAGACACAATCCATCTTTTTCACGGGGCCATCTGATTTTGATCCCATTGTCCACTTTAGAAAGAGCAGAGATGTGTCGTGCCTGAGCAGTCAATAGAATTGGGACGCTAGGAAACATGGGTCAGAGGAAAGTTCCCCTTATTTTTGAACTCAGGTGGTTTTTGAGAAGTGGCATTCTTTCGCCTTTAGTGTATATTTGTTATCTCACTTGATCCTGAGACCACAGACGCCAGGGAAGCTGAACACACAATCGCTTGTTTTGTAACGGCCACTTCCTTTCTCTCCTCTAGTCCCGGGTTGCCGTCTTGTCAATGTGTATGCCTCCTGGTTCGACATGTTGTTCTCTCCTGAGTGAGACTACAAACTGGAAACACAGGACTGTTTTCTCGGGTAAGGAATCACATTGGTGTGTGAACTAGTAATAGGGAACTCGTGGCATTGCCTGAGGGGGAAGCTGGCTATTTTGGTAAGGAGGGTTTCCTCTTCTGCAGTTAGCACAGATCTTTGTTGCATGCCATCCAAGTGGAACATGACCTGTGGTGGGTGCTGATTTCAACTTCCTACTTTTGTGTGTCTTCTGGTATTTTCCTCTTGCTCATCTTATCATCACATTATCAGGCAACACCGCAGGCTTGCTGCGAAGGTCAGCACTCACTGGGTTTAGCATCTCTAGCTTGCACAAGAATGCAGCGAAAGCTTAAGACGTTCGGTTGGAGCCAACGGGTCAGTGTGGAGATGTGAGAAGGTAAACCTGTGGTGCCATTTCTGACTTGGATCCTAGCATGATCGGTAGAGAGAGGCAGCATGTTCAAGTATAATGCTGCACTGAGAAGAGAGAAATACAAGAAAACAGATGGCCCTGATTTTGGTAGGGGGTGGGGGCACTATATTATGACTTAGGAACCCTTGTGGGGTACAAGTTGGGGTGTTAACAAGGTCAGTAGTCCAAAACCATAGCTGCTCCAAGGGAGAAAGATGAGGCTTTCTACTGTAAAGAGTTACAATCTCAGAAAAACACAGGGGCAGTTCATTCCTGGCCTAGTCATACTATGAGTCACCATTGACTCAATGAGTGTGAGGGTTTTTTCCCCCGGTCTTAAATTTATGGTAGTTACATAATCTGGTGTCAGTTTAGGACTTGAGAGGATTAAGAGTGAAGGGGTGGAGTCTAGTCTGTCAATCAGATCATAGCCAATGAAGCTTGTGTGCGGGCATGGCTTTCTCCTGAGAATTCTGGGAAATCTGGTTTTTCTCCTTGGAGGTGGGAGTCTGTCTCCCTCTGCTCACTTCCTGTGAGACATTCCTGAGGAGAAGCCACATGGACCTACCCTGATGCATCCAGAAACCTGGACCTGGAGAAGCCACGTGGAAACCCCTGCCAGCTTTGAGGTGCTTATGCCACTGGATCCACAAGACTTCCCACATACTGGCCTGTGATCTTCCTGCATTCAGTGTCATTGCATGTGTTTCATGAGTCTGAAGAGGAATTTATAGATTGGTATCAGACATATGGGCTAATATTGGACTTATGGACTTGATCTGGACTGGGCTGGGATGTTTTCTCAATGCTCAATTCCCCTTTATATACCATTTATATATCCTCTCTTGAACACAGGAGTTTCTATGGATTTTTTTCTCTAGTCTACCCAGACTAACACAAAGTTGAATACATGACATCATCCAGAAGAACATTTTTGAAGGTGAGCCAAATAAAACTGCCATCAAATGTACTCTAAGACTAAATTTTTATGGGAGCAAAAAGCCTCATCTTTCTCCTGCAGAGTGACTGGTAGGTTTGAACTGCGTATATATTTTGGTTGGTGGTACGACTACACACACAGGACTCCTTTCTGAAGGTGAAAAGGGGACTGTTCTCGGCACAGCAGCAGAAATCTGGTGTAGCTTAAGAGTAGCTACTGTTTGTGAGGATCCAGGGTTATCTGCTGGGATCATATCAATGTGCAGCAGAAGTCAGTTTTGTGAGTTGTGAGCAAGACCACATCCTTTTTGGCTTAAGTCAGCCCTATTTAAGTACTAATTAATTTCATTTTCTTTTGCTTTCAATCCTCTTCCAAGAGCTCTGCCTGAGCTTGGAATGCTAGCTGCTTGCTATCTGAGCCCAGCCAACAGTCAAGACCCCTCTGCTTTGTCAATCATTATTGTATAATCAATAAGAACTAGTTGAATTAATCTCAAAGGAGTAGATGATAAAATTCTTCTGCAACATTTAAATTGTGTCTGGCATCTAAGGTTTGGGTGACCTGAATTACAGATCATCTGCAAGGAGCATGCAATGCTGTAATTAGTGTTTGTAGAAGAAACCCAGGATCCTCATCACGTGAAAAATTATAATCAGTTGAGCACCCACCAATCAGCTAAGTTTCTGGAAGGATGCTCCGAGACTCACTGAGACTCATTCCCATCGAGTGGATTCCCATTCAGAGTGGCCCGCTGGGCCAAGGTCGAACCGCCCCTGAAGGTTTCTGAGACTGTAACTGCTTATGGGAGTGGAAAGCCTCTTTCTCCAGAGCAGCTGGTGGCTTTGTGGTTAGCAGCCCAGTGCTTAAACCACTACATCGCCAGGACTCTGAGGCTAGCCTCTAATAAAAATGCACCTTTCTCTGTTTCAAAAATTGTTCTGTGTTCTTCAAAAAGCAAACAAAAAAACTCACTGTCATCAAGTTGATGTCAACCCAAAGCAACCCTGTGGGACAGGGTAGAACCGTCCATGTGCGTTTCTGGGACTCTTAACCCTGTACAGGAGTAGAAAGCCTGGTCTTTCTCCTGCGGAGCGGCTGGTGGTTTTAAACTGCTGACTTTTTTAGATCGCGGTCCATTGCATAACCGTTATGCAACCAGAGCTCCTTGGTTGTGGTTATTAATCAGATTCGATCACTCCAGAGCAAGGACCTTGGGTAACAGTTTCTGAAACGAAAAAGCCAAGGATAAGTATATGGAGTATCAGGATGGAGTCCTTCCCAGCTCCCCTCTGTCAAGTGTGCAACACATTTTTATTATTGAGTGTACTGAATGCTTATTATCCATTCAGCTCCTTTAATGGTTTGTCCCCTCCGCTCCTGCTCTGCTCGCTTCATTTTATATCACAGAAAATCAAATGACTTGTCCAAAGTGATAAGCAATTGGGTTCGTCGCCAAGCCTGGTCCCCTCTCTCGGCCCGCCCCTCCCTGGCTCGTGGCCCGCGGGGCCCCGATTTGCAGAGGTTGGACCAGGTGGGGCTCGCTCTGCCAGTCCGCACACGACTGCGGCTGCGTCGGCGGCCCGTGCCCGCACGCAAGATGGCGTCAGCGGCCTCCTGCCCTTCTCCATCATGGCGGAGGCCGGGCCCGCCTCCCGGGGCGCCGGAGTCATGTGACCCACACAATGCTTGAGCGCCTCCTACAGGCTTCCCAGCAACGCGGGCGGAGAGCGATGACAGCCGCCGCGGGTTCGGCGGG